TAAGGGAAGTAGAATTCGGTACAACCATCTCCTTTCTTTCCCAAACTCAACCTCTAGTCCCCAAGCTTTCATGATATCCCCATCACAAGTCCCCCACTTCTTTTAGGTATCTTGATGCCTAAAGGAAGTAGAATTCGGTATCACCCTCTCCCCTCTATCCCCAACTCAAATTTTGGTTCCAAATTTTCTAGATATTTGTCGGTTCCTGCCACCATCGTGCGTCGGTACCACCTGCCATCCCCGTGATTGCCACGCGTCATGCCATTACTCCGTACCTCTGCCACACACCGCACGTTGCCCTGCCCTTCGCTTTATCACCTAGTGTCGAGAGGTCAAGGTGACTCCTCTATTGTCGCTTCTTGGATGCTTCTTGCACTAGACAGCTCCTTTGTTGCATTTATTTAGTATGCTTTTGTCGATTTCTCCATGATGCACCTGCATGCTTCTTTTGAATATTCAATGGATGTCTTTGCTCCTTCTCCATGCTACACCTGCATGCAATCTTTTTTTTTTTTTTTTTTTTTTTTTTTTTTTTTTTTTTTTTTTTTTTTTTGCCATGCAACTTGCCGCCAACTGCATGCGGCTTGCCGGGGGCAAGTCCGCGCATGTGGGTTGCGATAACCCACATGCCCCGTCCGCCAACTGGATGCGGCTTGCCGGGGGCAAGTCCGCGCATGTGGGTTGCGATAACCCACATGCCCCATCCGCCAAATACATGCGGCTTGCCGGGGGCAAGTCCGCGCATGTGGATTGCGATAACTCACATGCCCCATCCGCCAAATACATGCGGCTTGCCGGGGGCAAGTCCGCGCATGTGGGTTGCGATAACCCACATTCCCCATCCGCCAACTGCATGCGGCTTGCCGGGGGCAAGTCCGCGCATGTGGGTTGCGATAACCCACATACCCCATCCGCCAAATACATGCGTCTTGCCGGGGGCAAGTCCGCGCATGTGGGTTGCGATAACCCACATGCCCCATCCGCCAAATACATGCGGCTTACCGGGGGCAAGTCCGCGCATGTGGGTTGCGATAACCCACATGCCCCATCCGCCAACTGCATGCGGCTTGCCGGGGGCAAGTCCGAGCATGTGGGTTGCGATAACCCACATGCCCCATCCGCCATGGCAAGTAAAAGCACATAGGAGCACATAGTTGAGGTGGCCGTGGTCCAAGCATGCAGAGCACATAGGAGCATATAGTTGAGGTGGCCGCGGACCAAGCATGCAGAGCACATAGGAGCATATAGTTGAGGTGGCCGTGGGCCAAGCATGCAGAGCGTGTAGGAGCACATATTCGGGAAAAGAGTACTGATATTATTATTCGCATGATGTAACGTAAAGTGGTAAAGCTATGCAAGCTACCTTGTTCTTCCATCTAAGCCTCCGGACAGGCGGTTGGCCCCTCTACTAGGTTTTTGGCGACCCTTCGAGCCGTGGCCTATTACCACCCTCACGTTCCTCTAGATACTTTAGGCGATTAGCTTCCTCCGCCTCGGCATACCGATCTGCTTTCATCATCAATGCTGAGTACGACCTCGGGGTTTTGCGCCGCAGGCTCTTGTATAAGTCTCCGGCGCGAAGCGCCGCAACGAACATGGCCATCGCCGATCCGTCATCCATATCTTCGACCTCGGCCTCTTCTTTCCTCCACCGCGAGATGAATTCCGTAAGAGTTTCATCTCTTCCCTGCTTGACGCTGGCAAGGTGCGTGAAGTGCTTCCTGCGCCGTATTGCCCCCATGAAACGGGTGATAAACCTAGTGGCCAGATCCTGGAATGAACTTAACAAGCTGCCCTTCAAGCTTGTGAACCATCGCTGCGCCCCTCCCGAGTGCGTGGAGAAAAATGAGCGACACATTAGGGCGTCCGACGATCCCATGAGCATCATGGCCGCCTGGTATGTCAAGATGTGCTCTTGGGGATCGTCCGTCCCGTCATATCTCCTAATGTTGGGGGCTGCAAAGTTAGGGGGGAGGGGTTCGTTCATGATATTGGGGGTGAAAGGCGGGGTGAGGGAAATATTGGGTACCACGGCGTTAGCACCATACTCCTTCCACCGCACCAACTCATCAATCTTGGCCCTCAACGTGTCCAACCAATCCGGTAGGGGGTTGACCCGCGCTGTCACCACCGGGGGGGGCACTCTCGCTTTCGGCCTCTTCCAGACTTCCCTCGCGGGCGTCACCCCTCCGCGACCCTTGACCACGTGGCATCACAAGTGGGCCCAACGGGGGCTGCCCAGCGTGGATAACGGTTGCTCGCTCACCGTCCACCCATCTCCCGTTTCCGGCGCGAACCCATGCGGGCGCCTCCGTCGCACCACGGCTGGTGTTTCGTCCGTCTCTACGGCGTGGGGGATCGGGCGTGTGCTCTCTTGACGGGCCGACCATTTCAACGTACCTCGAACTCTTGCTAGGATGGTAGAGACTACAAACACGGGCTAATCGTAGCGTGTCCCCACAGACGGTGCCAATGATGGTTTTTATTGGGACCGGGTCCACCATAAACCGGGTATAGGAACATAGGACGGGGGTATGAAAGTACTGACTTTATTACCCGAAGCGCTAGGCCCTCAACAATACGTACAAAGCCCGAGGTACAGGCCCAGAACGATGGCCCAAATACAAAGAATAAGACCCACGTGGTGGGCTATAGCTAACTATGCTACTGGTAGGAATCGAACCCAGGTAGCTGGGTTGAAAGTATAAATCAAGACCACTAGACCGTAGTGCTTGTCGTGTCTGAGTTTCCCTAGCCAGAGATCCAGGGCCCCTATTTATAGCAAGCCCCCCTCCTCCTCTAGCGTCCACGTGTCCCATGCAATTCATCCCCACTTCCCCATTTATCGCTACGCAAGCGGGCACGTTCGCCATACTTCTAAAACTCCCACGCATACCACCCGGTCCACCATGCTCGGCGCACCCGCCCAGCACCCCCTCGGGAAGGGGGCGGGTGCCGTTGACAATCTGGGGGGCGCACTGCCCCCGCTGGCCGCGCCTCGGCCTCTATACTTCACATCTGGGTGTGTCTACTGCTTATTTTCCTCTGTACTTCACGTCTGGGTCTGTCTACTACTTCCAGACTTCATCTTCTATTGCTTATTTTCTTCTGTATTTCACGTCTGGGTCTGTCTACTGCTTCCAGACTTCATCTTCTTAATTGACTTGGGAAATGTCTTCCCATGTAAACTTCATCCCTTACTATATTTGAAAGTGAAATCTCATCCCTTCCTTGATTTGTCAATTGAAATCTCATCCCTTGATTTGGACTTGCAAATTTGAAACTTCTGCCCCAAGGGTGAGATACGTGAACTTCATCCCTTACTAGTTTAAACTAGTATTTTTGCTTCTGCAACTTCATCTTGTATTTTCCTCTGTACTTCACGTCTGGGTCTGTCTGCTTCATTCACGTCTGGGTCTGTCTGTTTCATCTTATATTATTTTCCTCTGTACTTCTGTTTCATCTTGTACTTCACGTCTGGGTCTGTCTGCTTCATCTTGTATTTTCCTCTGTACTTCTTCATCTTGTATTATTTTCCTCTGTACTTTCACGTCTGGGTCTGTCTGCTTCATCTTGTATTTTCCTCTGCTTCATCTTGTATCTTCTTCACATCTGGGTCTGTCTGCTTCATTCACGTCTGGGTCTGTCTGCTTCATCTTGTATTATTTTCCTCTGTACTTCTGCTTCATCTTTTACTTCACGTCTGGGTCTGTCTGCTTCATCTTGTACTTCACGTCTGCCTCTGTACTTCTGCTTCATCTTCTTCACGTCTGGGTCTGTCTGCTTCATCTTGTATTTTCCTCTGTACTTCTTCATCTTGTATGATTTTCCTCTACACTTCTGCTTCATCTTGTACTTCACATCTGCCTCTGTACTTCTTCTTCGTCTATTTTCCTCTGCACTTCTGCTTCATCTTGTACTTCACGTCTGCCTCTGTACTTCTTCTTCGTCTGCCTCTGTACTTCTGCTTCATCTTCTTCACGTCTGGGTCTGTCTGCGGCTGCCTCTGTACTTCTTCTTCGTCTGCCTTTGTACTTCTGCTTCATCTTCTTCACGGGTCTGTCTGCTTCATCTTGTATTTTCCTCTGTACTTCTTCATCTTGTATGATTTTCCTCTGCACTTCTGCTGCTTGCTGCTTCCAGTACTTCTTCATCTTGTATGTACTTCTTCATCTTGTATGATTTTCCTGTACTTCTTCATCTTGTATGATTTTCCTGTACTTCTTCATCTTGTATGATTTTCCTCTGCACTTCTGCTGCTTGCTGCTTCCAGTACTTCTTCATCTTGTATGTACTTCTTCATCTTGTATGATTTTCCTCTGCACTTCTGCTGCTTGCTGCTTCCAGTACTTCATCTTGTATGTACTTCTTCATCTTGTATGATTTTCCTCTGCACTTCTGCTGCTTGCTGCTCTACACTTCTGCTTCTTCATCACTTCTTCATCTTGTATGATTTTCCTCTGCACTTCTGCTGCTTGCTGCTCCTCTGCACTTCTGCTGCTTGCTGCTTCCAGTACTTCTTCATCTTGTATGTACTTCTTCATCTTGTATGATTTTCCTCTGCACTTCTGCTTCTTCATCTTGTATGTACTTCTTTGTATGATTTTCCTCTGCTTCTTCATCTGTATGTACTTCTTTGTATGATTTTCCTCTGCTTCTTCATCTTGTATGTACTTCTTCATCTTGTATGATTTTCCTCTGCACTTCAGCTGCTTCTTCATCTGTATGTACTTCTTTGTATGATTTTCCTCTGCTTCTTCATCTTTCTTCATCTTGTATGTACTTCTTCATCTTGTATGATTTTCCTCTGCACTTCTGCTGCTTCTTCATCTGTATGTACTTCTTTGTATGATTTTCCTCTGCTTCTTCATCTTGTATGTACTTCTTCATCTTGTATGATTTTCCTCTGCACTTCTTCATCTTGTATGATTTTCCTCTGCACTTCTGCTGCTTCCAGACTTATCTTCCTTCTTGACTTGCTGCTTCCGCTGCTTCCAGACTTATCTTCCTTCTTGACTTGCTGCTTCCGCTGCTTCCAGACTTATCTTCCTTCTTGACTTGCTGCTTCCGCTGCTTCCAGACTTATCTTCTTGACTGCTTGCTGCTTCCAGACTTAACTTATCTTCTTGACTGCTTGCTGCTTCCAGACTTATCTTCCTTCTTGACTTGCTGCTTCCGCTGCTTCCAGACTTATCTTCTTGACTGCTTGCTGCTTCCAGACTTAACTTATCTTCTTGACTGCTTGCTGCTTCCAGACTTATCTTCCTTCTTGACTTGCTGCTTCTTGCTGCTTCCAGACTTATCTTCCTTCTTGACTTGCTGCTTCCAGACTTATCTTCTTGACTTGCTGCTTCCAGACTTATCTTCTTAATTGACTTGCTTCCAGACTTCATCTTAACTTCATCTTGATTTGGACATAGCCCATTTTGGGCGGAACAGATCTCCCTTTCATCTTGATATGGGCTAGCCCATTTTGGGCGGAACAGATCTCCCTTCGACCAAACCATCTTCCAGACTTTATCTTGATATGGGCTAGCCCATTTTGGGTGGAACAGATCTCCCTTCGACCAAACCATCTTCCAAACTTCATCTTCTTAATTGACCCCCTTGCCTCCTTTCGGCCAAACTATCGCCCATACTTCATCTGATGGATTTAAACTTGGCTTCTTTAAAATATGTGGGATGTGAGATTCAAACCTGTGACCTTGCATATAATATTTCAAGCTTCTTCCAACTCATCCGTACAGCCTTTTGATTATTATTTTGTTTCACTTGGTGTACTTCTTTCTTTCTTTCTATAGATGCTTGATCTTCAAGATAGCTTCATGCAAACTTCAAGTCACGTTCTTTCTTCTTCGGGATTTCTTGAGAGATTTCTTCTTGGATGATAGTCTTCATAACTTCTTCATACGCATACATCTTTCTCTTTTGTTTGCCATTTTCACTAGGCAAATTCTTGATTTTAGGCTTTATCTCTTCTTCATCCATTTCCTCAATTAATGAATTTATTTTTCCCTTTCTTGGGCTATGACTCGACTAGTCTATCCAAAATAAAATTGGGGTTCTACGATTTACAATATGGCATATCAAAATCTATTACAATTTATTCTTAACACATTGCGTGCTAAGTTTTGAACTGAGAAACCTATCTGAGCGAAACTGGGAAAAATATGAGAAGCCTAAATCAAGTGTTTATCTAGAAATCATTTTGGGAAAATTCATTTTTCAACCCCAAACTATTTTAAAATAGCAATTCTAGCATTGGTTCATGGAGCATGGTGGACCACAATCAACCAACCTTGTTTGATAACATCTTTTAGCCAAGCATTTTACTCTTCTACCCTCCACCAATCATGAGGAATCATCATAGGGTTTTGTGCTACTATATATTCAAGCCTTACCAGACTTTTCCTCTTTGATTTTATTTGGAGATGAGAAGAAGCCACTAGTGCACAAACAGTGTGCACCAATAAGTTTCACGGGCCTAGCCAACGGCCCTCAGAGGACGTCGTTGGCTAGCACCGCGGTAGACCGGCTCTAGGGGATGGCCCTAGAGGAGGGTTGTTGCCCAGAGTCGCGTCTTAGGCGGGCCAAGGGGCGAGCCTAGCTAAGCCCCGCCCCAAGCCCCGTTGAGAGTTCTCTATGCAGTGGCCGGACCCTTGTGGCTCAGCTACGTGTCGTTTCAAACGAGGAGTCGCGAGCCCTTGTTGCTCGGTACCTCGGGCCATCTTGGTGCACGTTTTGACTTTGATTTCGTTGTGTTTGGAGAAGATTTAAGCCTTTTATGTTAGATTTTGTGGAAATATATGTTGCAGAAGTTGCATCAGTGAAAGAAAATGGGAAGTATCAGACTTTGAGTACCTATATGATGAGCTTGTTGCTATTTGATTGTTAAATAGAGAAGTATGAACACTATGTGTTAAGTTTTGATAGAAAAACATGTTTAAAGTGTCTTATACGATTTATTGAGAATCTTGCCTAGCTTCTAAATGTTACAGTGCATGTCTAACTTGCATGTTCAATTGCAGTAAATGAGTAAAAGATGTGTATTTTGAGTTCTAAGTACATACTGAATTACATGCTAAGTATTTGATGAGAAGAATTATCAAGTTGTGGTTAACAAGCATGATTTAAGTATTTATTGAGTTTTCACAGTGAATAAGAAAAGGAAGCATGTTTTACAGTAAATGGCATTGTTGAACATATCATGTTTTAAAAGCACATAAGTGGCCAACGTGAGCCTAAGTATTATTTTCCAAAAACTCATATCCATGTTGGAAAGTCATTAGCTTGTCATATTAAGAATGAGTTGAGAAGTTATGCGCATATTTGCATAAGAAAAGTTGTGCATGTTTGGATTGCATGAGTGATATATATATATATATATATATATATATATATATATATATATATATATATATATATATATATATATATATATATATATATATATATATATTTCTATTGTGAGGAAAATCTTGTTTTGGAGGACCCGTTTGGACTATGTCCTTTCGGAGTAAAAGAGAAAGAAACGGACATTGCAATCCGAAATCATGTAACACGGCGTATTCCCACGTTACGAGGTTAGAAACTGTCTGCCAAGCTTGGAATCCTGGTCAGGGGGTATGCACACTGATAGTTCGATACCTGATTCCACAGAGTTTGATTTTGGAACCACGAGATTGGTTCTATGGGCGGGATGAGAGATTGGCCGGCTAGACGCCGAGCCCAATAGGTACATTCACATTATGGTGAAGTCCTGCCTCGCCCACGAGTAAAGAGAAAGCGAGTCAAGAGACCCAAGAGAAAGAAAGCGAGTCAAGAGACCCAAGAGAAAGAAAGCGAGTCATTGAGACTCAAAGAAAGCGAGTCAAGAGACTCAAGAAAAAGAAAGCGAGTCATTGAGACTCTAAGAAAAGAAGAGCAAAGCGAGTCATTTTTGGCTCTAAGAAACCTCCACAGAAAATGTATTTCTTATACAAAAGAGTGTATATGTATATCTATCTATACTTATATAGAAGCATGAGTTTGCTTATGTGTTATATGTCTTGCACGAGATTGCATGATGAGTATTTGATAACATGAGATTGCTTATTTGATTTTATGAGAAAACTTAACATGAAATAGTTGAGTACTTGAGAAAGCTTTAGATTGTTCATAAGTTGAGCCTGTGATGAGTTGTTTATGGTAAGAACATGCATATATGTTTATTAGGATGCAAGCATCTAGAAGATAACGCCAAAGTACGTTTAAGTGTTTACACTTGTTTGATCTAAGAATGTGAAACTACTGTTTCCAAGAGTATATATTGTGTTACTTTACAGGGTTGAGTGGCGTTATACTTAGCTTCGTGCTAATGGGTTTTGTTTGCTATTTGTTGTTTGTTAACCCCTTTCAGGTGGGCCCATTTCGTAAGAAAGAGAGCACGGGTTAGACTAGTTTAGTTTACATAACTTTGTAGTCTAAACTCCTTGTTATGTTTGGGTTGTAGTCGACTATCCTTTTGTTGGTGCTGGACACCGGGGTTTCATCCCCTAGATACTTGGTTGTAGTTACTTTCAACTTGAATTTTAGATCCCTTTTGTAGCCTGTGCAGTCACCATGGGCGGTGATTGTGGCTAGGGATGGAAATTCTACCCGCACCCAACGGGTTACCCGCATCCCCGCCCCAATGGGTAATAAAATACCCGCATAATTTTGGTAATGGGTGCGGGTATGGGAAAAATGTTTTAAACACGCGCGAGTATGTGGGCAGGTGCGGGGAGAGGTATCCCTGCCCCGCACCCGCCCCCGCATATATATATATATATATATATATATATATATATATATATATATATATATATATATATATATATATATATATTATGTTATTTATTTAATCTGTTAGATTTTTGGGTAGTAAGGGAAGGTTCTTAACTCACTAATATTACGGCTTCTAATTATTTTTTTGGTGCTAGTGGCTAAGATTTTATACACTAAAGTTGAAGTTGGAAGCAAATGTAATATTCAAGTTTGGTAGTTATTTGCTGAAGACTTTGATGATTAATATAATAAATTGTAGTAATAAAAATTTTATTAGATGTAAGTTTCATATTATTAATGAGACTAAGGTTACATGCAAAATCCCCACGGGTATTCCCCGCACCCGCAAAATCCCCACGGGGGCGGGTATGGAAAGGAATTTCATTACCCGCACGGGTGCGGGTACGGGTATGGGGGGTGGGGTGGATTGCGGGGGCGGGGGCGGGGGATATATCCCCCGCCCCCGCCCCGCCCCATTGCAATCCCTAATTGTGGCGGTGACACTTCTTATGTTATCTAGTTGTTTTTAATTCCGCTGCTTAGTTTATCTGAATTTGGTTTTAGTACTTTAATTGAGTTTAAGAAAAGTGAGGTGTTACAATTTCTGCCAATCAAAGAAGGGAGACCAAGATAAGTTCCATTAATGTTTCCTTCTCTCATACCCAACAAGTGACAAGTGATATCTTTATTTTCAGCAATGGTGTTTTTACTGAAGGTGAGAGTAGATTTGGAGTAATTGACAGTTTGGCCCGAGGCAATATCGGGATTCTATGGTATGTTTAAGGGTGGATGCAACATGTATCAGCTCCCCAATAACACATTCCCACAACCTTAAATATATTGATAGAATTGACATCACCAACTCTCTACCTACACCCTCTTTTGAGAATGGTTTGGGCTTCCAGGATGCTACGCCAAATGTAGGATGGGTTACTGCTAAGATTTGCTTCAAGGTAGGAATTGTTTGTGAAATATTTAGCTTTACAGACTCTAGAGACAAGAGAATTGGGGTGTTCAATAAATTTCCAAGCTTACTTGCCTAACATAGCAACGTTAAAGTCTCTAATTTTTTTGAAACACATACCTCCCAACTGTTTAGGAGTACATAATCTATCCCAACATTTCCAACGAATACCCTTGTTGTTGTTACCATCACAACCCCACTAGAAACCATGACTCTCTCAATTTCCCTACCCAATTCAAGAGGCAGAAGGAAGACACTTAGGGCAAATAGCTTGAATGACATTTTCAAGCAGGATTTCCCTCCCAGCCTTAGAAAGAAATTTGTGAGTCCAACTCTTGATCCTACCCACAACCTTATCTTTAATGAAGCCCAATATTTCTCGTTTATTTCTGCCAATCAAAGAAGGGAGACCAGGATAAGTGCCATTAAGGTTTCCTTCTCTCATACCCAACAAGTGACAAGTGATATCTTTATTTTCAGCAGTGGTGTTTTTCCTGAAAGTGAGAGTAGATTTGGAGTAATTGACAGTTTGGCCTGAGGCAATATCAAAGGATTCTATGGTAGGTTTAAGGGTGGATGCGTCATGAGGAGTCGCCTTACAGAAGATGTAGCAATCATCGGCAAAGAAAAGGTTTGTGATAGTGGGGGCTCTTCTAGCAATAGAAATACCATGTAAGGATCCTTCAGTTTGGTTTTTTGACAACATTAGGTGGAAGGATTCAAGAATCAGGATAAAGATGTAGGGGGATAAGGGGTCACCTTGCCTTAAACCTCTACCCGGGATGACAAAACCAATTTCACTACCCT